CTTCATCCCTGCCCTTTCACAACACCAACTCTCAGCAAGACAGTGTGGCCACAACACAGTCTCAGTCTCACAGAACCAGCCTCAACTCGGGCTCCCCACCTCGACCATCTCCAACAGGGGAACAGAACACAAGAGACACCTGTACCTTTCACACAACCGGGAAAGAACAACTTACATCACTCTGAAGGTCGTACACTTTCCTGGCTTGTACAACATCGTTCTGGTCGGGCAGACAGGTCCAGCGATGCAGAGGGTGCTTGTAATCAACGTCACTGACCAGCTCCTGACATTTCTTGGCCAACACGATTCCCAGCATGTCCACTGGGCTACTGAAGTGTGTCTTTGTCTTCTCAAAGGCTTTCTTGTACTCCCTGTCACTCTGGATCTTGGCTACGTGCATCGACCACACCATCTTTGGATCATCCTCTATGTTACGGGCCCCTATGTGGTGGCCAAGCTGCTTGCGATAGCCTTCTTTATACTTGTACTGCAGGGTTAAAGAAGCTCAGTAAGTTCCATGCCAGCTCTTCTCCTTTCTGACACTATTCTGTAGCAGCACCTGTCAGCCCCTGATGCTAATGGAGCCTGGTGAGGTCACCACGTGAAGAGTGTCTCAGCGCAGCATGTCCCTACTGTGTCCCACATTTCCATCCCACCCCACGCCTCCACTCAGCCACAGGATGCACACGGAGGACCAGATGGCAACTCCAACCAAGCCAGCTCGGGAACCAGGAGCGATGCATGCCAGCTTGCAGTGTCTCCACACAACCTAACGTCCCCACTGAGAGGCCAGTTCAGCCGCTGGGATGCAAAACTTGCAGAAAACCACTGGAACGCTCCAGCACGCAACCTGGGCCTCATCCTGCACAGCCTGACTGCACTCCCCCACCCAGCCCACAGCGTTTCTCACACTCTGCTGCACCAGGCCCTCCTGCACAGCGCTCACGACTCTCATTCTCCCAGCCCCGTGCGTGTCCTCAGCTGCACACCTACAGCCATTGAGCTTGGGAAGTGACAAGGGGCAACACAACACTTTTTCAGCAACGCGCATGTTGGAAGCTTATGGGTGAAAATTTGAGGCCAAGTGAACAAAGGAAACTTCGTCATTGCTGTCTACTATGGGTCACCCGATCAAGGAGAAGAGTTTGAGGAACAGTTCTTTCTTTAACTGCAGTAAGCACCGCACTCACAGGCCCTGATCCTCACAGGGGACTTCAACCACCTGAACATCTGCTGGAAAAGCGTCACAGCGACCTGCTGGCAGTCCAGAATACTATTGGAGTGTGTGGAGAACAACTTCCTTGTATAGGTGATGGAGAGCCTGACAACAGAAGAGGCACTGCTGGACCTATTGCTCACTAATGAGGAAGAACTTCTCAAACAGCTCAAGCTTGGAGGTAGCCTAAGCTGCAGCAATCATGCCCTGGAAGAATTCTCAATCTTGATGGGTACAGGACAGGTAGAAAGTGGAGTCAGTACCCTAAACCTCAGAAATGCAAACTTTTGGCTGTTTAGGGCACTAGTGAGTTGGATCCCTCTGGAAACTGCCCTCAAAGAAGTGAACAAGAGCTGGGAGTTATTTAAAGACTTGTTTCTTGGAGTGCAAGAGCTCTCAATCCCAACACATAGGAAGTCAGGTAGGGGAGACAGGAGGCCATCTTGGCTATGTCAAGACCTCTTAACCAAACTAAAATGCAAAACCAAAATGCATAGGCAGTGGAGGCAAGGGTACACTTCCTGGGGAGATTTTAGGGATATGGCCCAGGTAGTGCAGGGAGGGGATCAGGAAAGCCAAGGAACAGTTGGAGCTGGACTTGGCTACGGACATAGAAAATAACAAGAAGAGCTTCTTCACGTACACAGGACAATAAAGGAAGATGAAAGAAACTGTATCCCCCTGATGAGCGAAACAGGACACCTGGCTGCAAACAACATGGTGAACGCTGAGGATCCAATGACTTTTTTGTCTCAGTCTTCACCATCAAGTGCTTTAGCCACACCACCCAATTCAATGAATCCAAATCCAGGGACTGGGAGAATGAAATACTGCCCAACATAGGATATCATGTTTGAGACTGTCTAAGGAACCTGAAGGTGCACAAGTCCACAGGACCTGATGAGGTGCATCTGAGCATCCTGAGGAAACTGGCAGATGAAGTTGCTAAGCCACTGTCCATCATATTTGAAAAGCAGTGGCAAACCAGTGAAATTCCCAGTAACTGGAAAAACGAAAATATAACCCCCACTTTTAAAAAGGGTAAAAGGGAAGACCCAGGGAACTACAGGCCAGTCAGTCTCACCTCTGTGCCCAGGGCAAGATCATGAAGCAGATCTTCCTGGAAACTATGCTAAGGCACATGGAAAACAGAGGTGACTGGTGACAGCCAGCATGGCTTCACTAAGGGCAAATCCTGCCTTACAAATTTGGTGGCTTTCTATGACAGGGTTACAGCATTGGTGGATAAAGGAAGAACAACTGACATTATCTACCTGGACTCATGCAAAGCATTTGATACTGTCCCGCACAACATCCTTGTCTCTAAAATGGAGAAACACAGATTTGATGAGTGGACGCCTCAGTGGACAAGGAATTGACTGGATGGTCGCATTCAAAGAGCTGCGGTCAACTGCTCAATTTCCAGGTAAAGACCAGAGATGAGTGGTGTCCCTTACAGGTCTGTACTGGGACCAATATTATTTAACATCTTTGCTGAAGACATGGACAATGGGATTGAGTGCACCCTCAGCACATTTGTGGATGACACCAAGCTGAGCGGTGTGGTTGATACTCTAGCGGGAAGGGATGCCATCCAGAGGGACCTTGACAGGCTACAGAGATGGACCCATGCGAACCTCAAAGTTCAACAAGGCCAAATGAAATCCTGCACCTGGGTCAGGGCAATCTCAAACACGGATATAGTCTGGGTGATGAGTGGATTGAGAGAAGCCCTACAGAGAAGGACTTGGGGGTATTGGTAGATGATAAACTGAATATGAGCCGGCAATGTGCACTCACAGCCCATAAACCAGCCATATCCTGGGCTGCATCAAAAGCAGCATGGCCAGCAGGTTGAGGGAGGAGATTCTTCTGATCTTCTCCACTTTCGTGAGACCCCACCTGGAGTCCTGCTCCCAGCTCTGGGAGTCCCCAGCATAAGAAAGACATATGACCTGTTCAAGCGGGTCCAGAGGAGGGCCATGAAGATGATCAGGGGGCTAGAGCACCTCCCTTATGAGGACAGGCTGATAGAGTTGGGGTTGTTCAGCATGAAGAAGAGAAGGCTCCAGGGAGACCTTATAGCAACCTTCCTGTAGGAGGCTGCTATATATAGAGGAAAAATGGGGAAGAACTCTTTATCAGGGAGTGTAGTGATAGGATGAGGAATAAAGGTTTTAAAATGAAAGAGGGTACATTTAGATTGGGATATTAGGAAGAGATTCTTTATTGTGAGGGTAGTGAGGCACTAGAATAGGTTGCCCAGAGAAGTTGTGGATGCCTCCTCACTGGAAGTAGTAGGAATGGTGGTGCTGGGTTGATGGTTGGACCTGATGATCTTAGAGGTCTTTTCCAACCTATGACTCTACGATTCTATGAAGTGTTCAAGACAAGGTTTGGCAGGGCTTTGAGCACCCTGATATAGCAGAATATGTCCCCGCCCATGGCAGGGCAGGCGGAACTGGATGATCTATAAAATCCCTTCCAACACAAAACATTCTATGATTCAATGATGCTATGACTTTTTCCCGCATCTCATTCTGAAATGTCAACTAAGACTGAGGGGAGCATGCCACCAAGGGCTGCTGGGTACTTACATCACTTGCAATGTCTCTGGAAGCTTTCGCAGACTTGATAGGAATGGCATCTGCCCGCATGTCGTAGCCCTTTTTCTTCTCTTCCTCCATCGCAAGCTTGTACAGTTTCTGAAAGAAAAACAAGCATTCCCCTCAAACTACACTTCTTCCCCAGCCACAGTAGTGTCCACGCACAGACGCTTAACCCCAGCTCAGTCACCCACCTCACTGAGGTTCGCTTGGTTCTGCTGGGCTAGCAAAATACCAGGTGTATCCGGCATAATGTGAATGCTGGTTTTATCTTTCTCCCACGCCGA